TGCATACGCCCCACCAAGAGTAAAGAATGCTGGAAAAAGAAATATAAAAGAAATAGAAAATATTCAAATATAAAAGAAATAGAAAATAATAAATATAAAAGAAATAGAAAATAATCAACTAAATATAAAAGAAATAATAATTAAATGAATTAAATAAAACCAATTTTTATTTACATTGCATTGCGCACAGCGAATTTTCTCTAATATTTGCCCTCCTTACTTCGTTGATGCACTAAAAATATAAAGAATATAAAATCAATATCGATTTCGATATATGCGTGTCACCAAGGGAAAAACCTGTATATAGGTTTTCCCCTGGCGACACTCAAACACATACAAACGAACCTGACTATTTTCTTGCTGTATCGTAAAGAACTCTGAACCTTCAAAATAACAAACACTCAACGCCAATGGTACCAAGAGCTGTTTTACTGTAGGATTTTTTTTTTGACTTGGCAAGACTAAAAAGATCATTGATAATAATAAAACTGCAAAGAAAGAAACAATTCCAAATCCTGCAAATAGTTCAAATGCTTCTTTTATGCTATTCTCAGGATAAAAATTGTCCATGTAAGGACAACTTAAACAACAACTTCCATCACATATCATGTCATCTTCGATTTTTCCTGTATACCATATTAAGGGAGGATAGCACGATCCATTATTTGGTATTATAGTGTTCTCGTTTGGTGGCATGTAATCAAGACCGTCACCAATTGAACCAGACATCATTCCATTTTGTTCTAAAGCTTCGCATGAAAATGCAGATATTATAATAATGATACATAAAAGAATGTGGTGCATTTGAAAGGTGTGAAAATTTGACCGCAGTATCATAATTGGTGAATGATTTGCTTGATATTTTATTTGACGGAATTGCTAACGAAGCTTCCTGTTTTTTCCAAAACATCAACTAGTAAAAAAGAACCATTATAAAATTCTTCAAAATGATGGTCATGAACGTTTTTAATTACCACCACGCGAGGAGGATTAAACCACGTATCTACATGAGGATGCGATGTTCGCTCACATCACCATGTGATCGATCCGGGGAAAGGATGATCCTTACATTTTTAAATTAGTTTCACGCGATAGAAATTCATTTCATTTATTAAAATTAGAATGAGTTGCAGAAATTCACATTTCACTGCGGAATCTTAGCAACACATCATTCACATTATTGATTAAAATTATTCTTAAAAAAGTAACTTTAAGCTATAGAGCAAATTTTAATTTTATCTTTAAAATACTACTCGAATCATATACAAAGTAATTACTTACACAAAATCTCACGAGGAAATATTTCTATCAAAGGTGTTCATAGTACAATAGCACAGAATGTATGTAATTTTAAGATTCATATAAATGATGTAAATTTTGAATATCTTACTCATAGATTACTTAACATATTAGGCCATACAAAATTAATTAATTGGAATTCATAACCCGGCCGAGTCAAATTTTAAAAACTTGAAAAAATTTTTTTATGTTTTAATAACCGGGTGATTTTTTGTTAAGAAACAAAATGTTTTATAAAATTTTATAAAATTTTTATATATGAAGCTTAAACAAAAAAAAAAAAAAAGCCGACCGGTCGGTTCTGTTTAAAAGTTTTTATGTTATGGAACCCAAGATATTAAATTTGTGTGGCCTTAGTAATTTCTTTGTAATTTCTTTGTAATTTTAATTGTTTCCAAAGAAACTATGTAAAAGAGCTTTTGTCATTGGACTTAGACCTTTTTGTTCATGTTGGAAGCATGCCTAAAATGAATAGCGGTAATATTTCAATAATATCTTTAAAATTTTTGAAAAAAAAATCCTTACTCTTAACTTACCATTATGACTCCCATGGCCATTGAGAAAAACCAAATGTCTGCAGTTCTATGTAATTCAAAAATACAATTCTTTTGACACATGATTTTGTACAAGCTTTCC